CGTCCAGCTGAACATAGTAGCCATTAAACAACTTTATATGCTAGTTGTTCTTGACCAAGTGCCACAATAGTTCAATGATGTCAATGTAATACCTTATCAAAACACTTGAACTGCAAGTCAATTCTTATCAAGAACTAATCTATATGACTTACAAGTCTAAATCAGTATTTTCCAAATACCCTTTGAAGATTCAGACGTTCTGTACTCATTTACATTGAGACGAGCCAAATGATTCATACTATATGACTCTCAGGATGAATTACCGATAAAAACGTAAATAAGATAACATGAATTGTGCATAACAGACTAGATTGTACAAAGCTTCTCTGATACGTGAAATTATTGTTATTGATAAGACAAAGCAAATTAATTGGATAGGTAATGTTTATTATAGTTCTTAAGTTTAATTTTTTTCTGATTTGACATTACATGCTTAGGAAAATTATGGCGCAATTAAACATTTTCCTTAAAGGTTGACAACGACAGTATTGCTGGGTTTTTAAAAAAAATCTCTATAGTAGCACGGAGTCTGGAATTGTACCCGGTATATGGCAGTTTTAAGTGCGGGAGAGCCATGCTTCGGCACGAATGTACCGGCTCGACCGGAGTGATACCACGGCCTCACAGAAAAACGACGTTAAATAACGCTTGCGTTGTTTGACGTAGTGTGACTAAGGTTACCGAAGGCCTAATTACCCCCCTTCCTAGTCTCCCGTCTCCCCGAATCCTCCACAATCCTCAAATTCCCAATTCCCAAAAGGCCGGTAACGCACTTGTAACGCCTTGTTGTTTCGGGTGTCCATGGGCGGCGCCGATTGCTTACCATCAAGTGATCCGTCTGCTCGCTTAACAGAAGATTCCAGGTTCGAATCCTGGCAGGGTCGCCATGTAAGGATTGGTATTGAGTAAAACACTCTGACTGCTGATTGAATACTGACTCTTTATTAATAAAGATTGATGTTTAAATACACGAGTAAGATACATTGATATATGCAAACTTAGAACTATAGGATATACAGTACACACTACACCGGCTAACGCTAAAAAAAAAATAGGCTCACTCCCTGTTATATGGGACTCATTACATAAATAGTGAAAAGTGGTGTTACATTGTGGTAAGTGCCGTAATGTGCACCTATGTCTTCACCCACCCACCCACCACCACCCTTCGAGGATAAAAGGCGTGATGTTAGTAATCATGACCTGAATACATTAAACATTGTGACAACTTCTGTTTGTTTGTGCCAACTAATTAGAATCAACAACGCAGACACAACAGTACCTACTGATACGATCGAAATTATTATAATACAAATGTGTTTCCCCCGTTGTAACTTTGATATAAATATATGTATATTCATCCATCCGAACGAATTTCGTAATATTTTCCAAAATCAAAGCAATTATTTCAATTCATCCTTCATTAGGCACTTCTGAAACCTCAACAATTGAATTGTCCGCCCATCTGTCTGTCAGTGAAGTTAGGCGCTTCCACCCAATTATTAAATCCCTGTAAGTACCTATACAATAAACCAGGCAATAAGTGTATTGCCAGGCCAACCTACAGAGGTTCAGGTGCAGTAGGTAGGATCTCATTTTAAGTCAACCTAATACAACTTTTAGTTTTCTTTTATTTATTTTTTCCCATTAGTTTTAGGTAATAGATAGCATTTTATTTAAGTTTATATTATTTATTAATAGAAATAGATACATTTTCTATTTGTAGTCCTAGAATCATTGAACTATATTTCCTAATCACCTCGAAAAAAAAATACAACTTGAAGTCAATCATTATGTAGTTCGGCTTGTAAAACGCGAATTCGACAAATTTCAAGCCATACTGGAGGCTCATATTCATTAGCAGTATTCCGGGACACACGACGCGGCCATGACTTTCAGTAGCAGCGCGACAGACGCGTCGTGTGTTTAAGATTGTATAAGATTTGTCACAATTACAAATTAATTTTGAACGAGCAGACGGATTACGCGATGGTAAGCAATCGGCATCGCCCATGGACACGCAAAACATGGGAGGTATTATAAGAGCATTACCAGCATTTTGGGGATTAGGAATTCAAGGATTGTTGGGGATTTGTGGATTGGGGAGATTGGGAAGGGTGTTAATTAGACCTCCGGTAACCTCACTGACACGACGAAACATAACGCTAGTGTTGTTTTACGTCGGTTTTCTGTGAGGCCGTGATATCACTCCGGTCGAGTCGTCGCATTCGAAGCATGCCTCTCCCACACTTAAAAATGCTGTATAGACAAAGGTTATTTGAAAGCTCTGACCTTACAATGGCCCTAACGTTCAAAACCTTCAATATTCTAATTAAAATGACGTCTCTATTTCCAGCTACGTAGTACGACTAGGTGAGCTGGACTTGGCGAAAGAGGACGAGGGTGCAACTCCATTGGACGTGCTCATCAAGCAGAAGGTCAAGCACGAGCAGTACAGTGCCACCTCCTTCACCAATGACATCGGTATCCTGATATTGGATCATGAAGTTACTTTTACCGGTACGTTCACCGTATGCCATAATTTAATGAAGTCTAGTATTTCAGTGGCGTATCCTTACTGATATTATAAATTGGAAAGTGAGTTTGTTTGTTTGTTCCGCTTTCACGCCGTAACTACTTAACCGATTGCTTTGAATTTTTGCAGACATAAAATTAGAAGTCTGGATTAAATAATAGGGTACTTTTTATCCCGAAAAAATTGATATTCCCGAGGGAAAACAAAAGTATTGGTATAGATGGCGCTGTGCGTATTGGTATATGTCACATAGGCTACTTTTTATCCTTTTGTGACGCGAGCGAAGCCGCGGGTAAAAGCTAGTACAAATAGCTTCACTTGTTAATTTTCTGTCTTGAGGTTCAAAAGTGCCTCTATGGTCTAATTGAAATAAATAATTTTGACTTTGACTTTGACAATATAAACTGTTAAGCTATTGGCCTATTTCACAATATCTGGCTAAGTTTCCCTTCGCATCGGACAGTTAAGCATTTAGTTAATTATCTTAGGGCCGATTTTTAAAAAAAATACTTAATCAGACAGTATGATGAAGCCCTTTTGCAAAATTATTAGGTACAGTAGATAAATAAGCTACTGCCAAACTACTTACGACTATTTGAATGTTTGTTGTTGAGGATTTTGTAAAAGAAGAGCTCCGACCTGAAACTACACACACTTTGTCTATAAACAACAAGATATACCCAAAAGTTCCTAGCACTTCGATTGATTATCCAAACTGAAGAAACCTAAAACTGAGTGTCTTCAAGGCCTGAGTAAGTAGGTAGCTTATGGGACGACGTGCTCCGTGGTAGACCGCATCATCGCTTACCACCAGACGAGATAATGGTCAAACGTAGCCCCATCAAACATAAAAAACTTTTCGATCAACCTTCAATGAACGATATCCGAGACTGTCTATTTGGCACATAAAACAGTTATCAGATGTACTGAAAAAAGGTGCGATCATAAGAAGGGACTGATATCTATTTATAGGTGTGGTTTGTGTACTCAATACTTAGTCGCACCTTTTTTATTTTAGTTAAATACAACGATAAAATTACGATACTGATACTATGTTATTTTTATGTATGAAAAATTCCATGTCATGGAATTTTCACCATTAGTTTTCGCTTAGAAAGTCTTTAACTACCCACTATCTTATACTATTATAGAAAGCGGAAGAGTTTGTTTTTTTTGTTTGTTTGTTTGAACGCGCTAATCTCCGTAACTACAAGTCTGATTTGAATAATTCTTTTTGTGTTGGATAGCGCATTTATCGAGGATGGCTACAGGCTTTAAAACATCACGCTACGACCAATAGGAACTGAGCAGAGCGTGTGAAACCGCGCAGAAGTAGCTAGTTATTAAATATAGATAGATCTATATAAATAAAAATGAATTTCTGTTCGTTAGTCTCGCTAAAACTGGAGAACGGCTGAACTGATTGTGCTAATTTTGGTATTGAAATGTTCGTGGAAGTCCAGGGAAGGTTTAAAAGGTGAGAGAAATTTAGGCGGCACGAAGTTTGCTGGGTCAGCTAGCTATAGGTATATATAAATGTGGGAGAATTTTGTGGGAGAGCCATGCTTCGGCATGAATGGGCCGGCTCGACCGGAGTGATACCACGGTCTCACAGAAAACCGACGTGAAACAACGCTTGTGTTGTGTTTCGTCGTGTAAGCGAGGTTACCGGAGGCCCAATTACCCCCCCCCCCCCTTTTCCCCAACGATCCTCAAATTGCTAATCCCAAAAGGCCGGTAAAGTACTTGTAACGCCTCTGGTGTTCCAGGTGTCTATGGGCGACGCCGATTGCTTACCATCAGGTGATCCGTCTGCTCCTTTACCGGCTTATACCATAAAAAAAAATAATAGCTTTTATTAGTCTTGCTAAAATTCAAAAACGGCTGGACCTATTTGGCTAATTTTGGTATTTCATTATTTGTGGAAGTCCAGGGCAGGTTCAATAGTTGAGTAAAAATAAATTTCAGGCAATCGAAGTTTGCCGCGTCACCTAGTTACCTATATAGATTAAAGATGTTATATGCATATTAATAAATGGGATATATTATTATTTTCTCCATTACAGATTTGATAAAGCCGATCTGTATCCCCAAAGATGAGAAACTAAGAGCAACAACCTTCGAAGACTACAACCCTTTGATTGCCGGATGGGGACACACGGAATTCCGTAAGTACAGCCAAGTTACATAACGATAACCAACCTTAGCAAGAACGAAATAAGATACATTCTTTAGAGACAGACGGCAGCGCATCAACCCCTCCACTTACTTTTATTATAAGTTTCAACCTAATCCCTTTTATAATTCAGTCGATAATCGTAGTTGCATCTGTATTTTTATAACGTTGGTACACATCATATTCTACTTATTCTCAAAACATTGATGAACAAAGAAAAATTCTCGCTTTTGTACTTCAAATCGTGTAGCAGATTTCCCTCATTTTCCAAGCCGTTTGCAAATTTCAATTTCTGTGCCGCACATGATAAGTTATATCAAATTTTCAGTTTTTTTTTAATCAATGAATTATCAATTTAATTGTTTTAACAGAATAAATAGGTACCTGATCACGTGGCGTATCGACATGCAGTGTCACAATGGTAGCTAATAACGTCATGTGTTTGGACGACAGTACATTACGATAATCTCCATACGTGCTCCCATTGGTCAGAATTTCCAACATGGCAGCAAAAAATTCGAACGTAACTACCAATTCGAATTTCGATTTTGACATCATAACATTAGAATTTAATGTCAAAACAATCGAATTAACGATCACAAAAGGCCGTTAGTCATAAGTAACGCCTTTAAAAAATAAAGTTTTTTCTCTTTTGATGCGATAGCTGTGAACAATGAATCATACACTTGAAAGATAATATAATTTGCATCATCAACCCATCTGATTCACTTTATACATATATTTAGGTACCTAGCTTTATCTCAGATTAGATAAACATGATCTGGGCGTAATATGTATTAATAATAACTAATTTAATACATAATTGAGATATTATTAGGTTTATCTTAGATAAATACAATAATTACTGGAAATTCTGGCCTTGTTTATTTTGTTTTAAGGTACTTTTTATCTCTTGTTACATAGGCGCTTATTTTTTCCTTGATTGAGCTCACATCTGAAGGTGTGTCATACATTTTAATTAGCACTTAAGAATACGAAAACTAGGTCGGTGTCGTAAAAGCCGACTAAGGAACTATATATTTGTTTATTTATTTAACTTCTATACGGACGACTTAATGATAACAGCATTCTCTGCCAGTCATCCTTAGGGTAGTGCACCAATGTATGTGGTAGGTGATAAGCTGCAAATAGGTTATGATAGGTATATATAACAAAGACCAGGCAAGAGTGCTCTCAAGTAGCCCTTTTTTGAGGGCAGTAAATAACCAAATAACTTCTCTCGCCTTGGATGAGGCTAGAGAGAATGTCAGACTCATACTTAGGCTTTGAACCTCTCTGCTCCTACTATTGTTTCGGGCCGGAGAGTCCAGCTTGTAAATTCACGGGCTGTTGATGTGATAGATAATATATAGAGGATATAATCGTTTTCTCTTCTCCAGGTGGTGCAGCAGCAACACATCTCCAAGTGTTACAACTGCCAGTTGTAGGCAACGACTTCTGTATGCAGGCGTACAGCGCCTACAAAGCACAGAAGATCGACGAGCGTGTGCTCTGCGCGGGGTACAAGCAGGGAGGCAAGGATGCCTGCCAGGGAGACAGCGGTGGACCTCTAATGCAGCCTATCGTAAGTACAGAAAGCTTAAAAGAATATAGGTGCCATTTTAAAAGGCCAGCAACTTAATTTTGGCACCTCTGGTGTTACGGGTATCCTTGGATACTTGGATAGTTATGTGCCATAGGGACTGATCTTGTTGCCATGGGTTCCAAACACTTAATTCTACTTCTAATTAGAGTTTTCAAAATACCGTAAATAACCCAATTTGTCGCGGAGAACCTAACGGTCGCGGAGAATATTACGGGTTACCGGGGCTCCGGCTCGAAGCGCAGGAGAAGGAACGGGGTGGTTTTTAGTCAGTAAGAGTCTGACACTCCCTCCCGCCTCACCCAGGCGGGAGCAGTCATTCGATGATTTTCCCCCCTTAAAAAAAAGGCAGGCAAATTGTTCTTTGTCTGAAGGTGGATGAACGTCCTAAAACCACTCAAGCAACCCACTTTTAAGTATACAAACACTTACAATTTATCTTTAGATACTAACTGACCTACAACATGACTCAATTTTAAACATTAGACAACCAGCACATCAAGCTACCCTTCTTCCGAAACTCTTCAATGAACCTTTAACTTTATCGTTCTGTGATAAGGTTAAAAGTCTTTTAAATCTAGCACCTGAAAGTGTACCTAGTTACTGCAATGTCATTTGTACAGACATTTGTTTTCAACAAAGAATATACCTAGGTACCTAATGTGCTGAAAATCTTATCTGAAATTTTACTTTGTGTACTATCTCAGGTAACTACACTCGTCGGTATTCCTATTTAGGTATACAGATAAAAAGGATTTGAAAATTCTCAAGATATGACTAATGGTTACAGTAGGTGGGTAAGTAAATTGGAAATGAAGTTTCGAACAAAAGTCTGTCTACACAGAGTCTGCTGCACTGTCTCGGAATTATTTGTGAATCGAGGATACCTACTTCGCACTGTGTATTTTTTATGTCCTTAGAAGAATAGTCGCAAGTACGTCGACTACTAAGAAACTAAAGCCAGGAATAATGCTAGGGTCTTTTCCATTTTTGAAAATCTTGTATTCATTCAGTAAATACAACAAGTCGTCTCTAGTATCAAAAATCAGTTCTTAAATTATTTTAACAGTGTCTTTGTTTGATTTTTTGTATTGAACATTATGTTACCAGAAATATACTTATTACACATTTACTTCATAATCTACAATAGCTACAATAGATATACTTGATTCAAAGTCAAAAGTCAAAGTCAAAATCATTTATGTCAATTACACCAGGAAGGCCCTTTAGAACGTCAACAATAAAATTAAATGTGAAGCTTATTCTTATTCCAAGGTGTAGATTCCAATGGAGAAGAACGAGCAAGAAACTCCATAGGTTACTCTTCCTCAATCAAGTTTACAATACAATTCTCTAATTACATCGTTTTATTGGTTCGACTGTGCGAGAACAATGTAACACCAAAATCCAATCAAAGAGATCGAAAAAGAAAATAACACACACAGCATACTTATTGAACTTTTCTTTTACAGTGGAGTCCAACCTCACACAAGACATACTTCTACCAGATCGGAGTGGTCTCCTACGGTAAGAAGTGTGCCGAAGCCAACTTCCCTGGTGTATACTCCAGGGTCACGCACTTCATACCCTGGATCGAACAGCAAGTTCTAGGACGGACCACAACGTGACTTCAATTGTAAAGTTCGTCACAACTAAAGGCTTTAATTTATAGACGATTCTTCGACTTGACACGAGGCGAGGCCACCTCGAATTTAGTTTCTATGTCACAAAAATAGTAAATCTAGATTAGGGAATAAAATATATGTATGTGTGAGTGTTTATTGTCTTTGTACTCAATGTTATTTGCTTTTCTTTTTTATGGTCTTTTTTAACTGTGATAGTTATTGGTCTGTGGAGAATTTGTTATTACCATCTAATCAAAATAATGACACGCATGCACGTGTGCACGACTTTTCAAGTTTTATCTCAAATCGAGTCGGCCTCGCCTCAAGTCGCAAAAATTCGTCACGCCAAGAAAATCTCATACAAGCTCTCACAAAAATGTTAAATAATTAAGTTATAAGTTACGTATAAGTATTGACTACTGTTATATTGTAATAATTATTTAATTATAGTATTTGTAAGCATAGTTCTTGTCACTAAAATATTATTTTTGTATACTCTGAATACGTCAACAAGCGATTTTTTTAATTTAAAATAAATGCTCTCGTTTTACTTTTTGTTTTTTATTTTTTATCTATCGATCTTAATTTTAAAACTCTCATCTCTAGACGTCTTCTTAGTTTAGATATATTTGACATCTGGATCGTGTCCATATCTCATTTTTCTAAATTCATTTCTTTATATACATTTTAAAAAAATGTTCTTATCCTTATCTTAATATATTTATTAACATTAAATGTGTGCCCGAAATAAATGAATTTTATTTTTATTTTATTTTTTATTAATTTTTTTTCGAAACATGCTTTTTTACTTTTTTAAAATGTTTAATTTTGTTATAACCAAGGTTTTTAAAGTTCTATTAAAAGTCTTTAATTTTATGCTCCCTAAAATAAGAATGTTAATTTCGTTAGTAGTAGTTTCTATTTTAGTAACTAAAATTTTATTGTTCTCGTTCATTTTTGTGTCTATAGTTTTTGTTATCACTTAAGTAATTAAATGTTGGTTAACCTATAATTGGCGACTGTATAAGCCTAATACTTATTGTTACTTTCATTATCACTTAATACTATGTATACAGAAGCTGTCGGTATACCTATTTAAATAAATAAAAAAATAAAATAAAAAATAAGTAGGTATTCCTACTGATGAAATTCTGATTTTTTTATATTAGATGGGCCGACGTTTGCCCACTATCTCGCCTGGTGGTAGGCGATAATGCGGTCTACGATGGAGCACGTCGACCTATAAGCAACCTATTTTATTTTTCTTAACCTTAACTATTTTCTGCGCCTCTACCGTTGTCTAAATCTGAACCTATGTCTAAAAATGTACTTAGTCCAATAAATTGTTGCAGATGAGTGATTATATTTTTTTATTTTATTTTATTTTATTGATTTGGCTCACCAACAATTGATTACACTTATACAATATAGGGTTACATTTACGAAAACTTAAATACTAGTGCATCAATCTATTATAGGTAAGCACAACATGCGTTATATACTTAATGGTTTACAAATCATAATGATCAGGCAAATCCAACCATTGACATGGATTTAACATTCAAAATAACTAAGAAGAACTAGTATCGGAGACAAATTGAATATTAAACTTAAAATTTAAAATTTACGGCACGTACAATAAAGACAATTGATACTTACAATGAGAACATAAATAGTGGGCAAAACAAAAAGTGAACATAAAGACAAAACAAACAAAAATAGTTACATTCGGGCAACATCACCATAAAGAATCAACTTAACCTTTACGCGAAACTTGCCAAGCGAGTCCAAATGCACATCAACAAGGTCACTATAGCTATTCAGCAACCTGCATAGACGAGGGATCGGAGAATTAGCACCAAGTACAGTCCTGCGTAGTGGAGGACACAATGGAGTTATAGGCGCTCGTGGATTTTTGGAGGGTACACGGATTCTGAGCTTGCTCAAAAGCTGGGGACAGTCAATATGATATCGCAAGATTTTGTATAAAAATAATAAATCTAGTGAGTCTCTTCGTTTTTGTAGGGATATCATTTTGAAGTGACTCAGCCTCTCATCATATGACGGCTTCTTATTAGCTATACCAGAAGAGTACGCTAAGTGCCACAAAAATCTTTTTTGAACCCGCTCCAGTCTCAATGTGTGGGTGGCATAGTGTGGTCTCCATACAACGCTACAATACTCCAGAGAGCTACGAACCAGACAATTATAGAGAAGTATTTTAGTCTGATTCTGGCGAAAGCAAGTAACATTTCTGATGACAAACCCCAGCATTCTAGATGCTTTTTTAACTGTATTTTCAATGTGAGGAACAAACGTTAACTGACCATCAAACACAACTCCTAAATCTCTCATCTGAGTGACTTCCTGCACCAAGCTTCCACCGATGTAGTATGCAGATCGCATATATTTAGTTTTTCTGGTGAACTTCATATGGTAGCACTTATTAGTGTTCAAATTCATACCATTGTCATCACACCATCTTACCAATCTATCAACATCCCTCTGCAGCAACTCAGCATCAAGATTCGACTCAATCTGTCTGCAGAATTTTAAGTCATCCGCATACATGAAAGTCTCAGAAAACTTAAATTCCGCTGCGAGATCATTGACAAATAAGTTAAATAACACTGGGCCGACATGTGATCCCTGAGGAACGCCCGATGTGACGAGGTAGGAGCCAGATCGGTAACCATTGAGAGCGACAAAGAAGGTACGACTATCGAGATATGACTCAAACCAATCAAAGAGCGAGCCAGTGATTCCGTAAGATTTCAATTTATACAAGAGTATGTTATGAGGGACACGGTCAAAGGCTCTACTAAAATCGGTGTAGATCACGTCAACCTGTCCCCCCGCATCAATGGCACCTACCAAGGTCTCCGTGAACGACACTAGGTTCGTACATGTGGATCTGGAGCCCACAAACCCGTGCTGAGAATTTGCAAGGTAAAGCTTTAAGTGAGACTGGATGTAGGGTGTTATCAGCGATTCGAATACCTTAGCGAATGTAGACAATATCGAGATAGGTCTATAGTTGCCCACAAAATTACTATCACCACATTTGTGAATCGGTACTACTTGAGCCACCTTCCATTTATTTGGAAACATGCCAGAGGTAAGCGAGTGGTTTATTATTTGCAGTAAGGGGGCTGCCAGAGAAGAAGCACACTTGGAAATAAAGTAAGGAGGAATTCCGTCGGCTCCTGCACCCTTTCGACAATCCAAAGACTTCAATTTATTGAGCAAGGTATCTATGTCAATTATTGGTGCCATCAAAGGTAAACTGTAAGTTGACAAAGTCTGCAAATACTCTGTGGGACGTGAATGATGAGTTACATCTTGCTCGCTGTACATTTTAGAAAAATGAGCAGCAAACATTTCTGAGATGCTCCCGCCATCTGAAGATGACGCAACGCCATCCGTCATTGTTACAGGATAAGAGCTGGCACCCCCTCGCTTGTCTTTGATATAAGCCCAAAATCGTTTGGTATCCTTGGATATCACGTTTTCCAGGTTTCTAACATACCTATTGTAGCAAGAGGTAGCCATAGCAGAGCATCGTTTACTCAGCAACTTTAGTTCAAGCTCATCCATGGGGTTTTGATACACTTTATATCGCCGGCGTATTTTCTCCTTTTCTCTCAGAGTTCGTATAAGATCTTTGTCGAACCAGGGAGGTCGTGATTTATATTTACGTACGGTGGGGGGATTTTGTTTTTCAATGGCGTCGTTGATTTTGCTGTAGAATATATTGAGCATGTCATTAACATCCAGAGTGCCACCAAACAGATGGCACCAATCGATCTCATTCAGATATTCACGAACCTTGTCGTAATCCAACTTATAAAAATTGAGTCTCTTGTTACCATTATACGGCAGACTTGCTTCACTGTAAGGTCTAAAATGTATTTCAATGGGAGGATGGAGAGGGTCAATTTTGCTTAGGGGATTAGGAGCGGAGCAAACAGAGCTGGAAGTCAAGTTAGTCAAAGCAAGGTCAAGTATACGTCCTGACTTATTTGGTATATTATTCAGTTGAGATAAATTGTTCAAATTAAGAAAATCAGTCAACAAAAGACCAATGCCTG